TAATTTAATAGTGTTAGCTTCTGAAATGATAAGCCTTAAATGAACGAATCATCAAATACATCACGGTAGCTATATTTCATAGATTTCACGAATTGTAACCGGTTAAAGGTATGAGAAATTTTTCCTTTTAAAATGTTATAAACATTACCCTTTAATCATTTTTCTTTATTTTTTTTTTAATTTGTTTTCTGGTTGTAGACATTTTCCCCGGTGGCACTTGATTGCGAAACACTGCACAATTCTACATGTTGAACACTACTTTACATATGACTCGAACAGTTTTTGTATAGGGAACTGAAAACTAATAATATTCAATCCATTCTTTGCGGATTAGAGTTTTCCAGAAAGTTTGATAATTTTAAAAAAGCTATATTTATACAAATTTAAATACATTTAAATGGGACAAATGTAATTTCTTATTCGATAATTTATCTGAATAGTTTTTAAAGGGCCCCTTGTTTTAGGCGAAACGAAATCGGTACAACTATGGAATTCCCCCTCCCCCCCCCCCCAACCATTTCTTATTTGAAAATTTATCTGAATATTTTTTAAAGGGCCCCTTGTTTTAGGCGAAACGAAATCGGTACAACTATGGAATTCCCCCCCCCCCCCCCCCCAACCCTTGGGCTCCTCTTTCAAAGTAAATGTAATATTGTTATAGTAATGTATTTAAATGTAAAATTTTTCGTAAATTGAAAAGTTATTTTTACAACTTTCGAGGAGGATAATAAATAACGCCCAAGAAAGTTCTATATTGTTCTACAGCGATATATAATGGGATCTAAATGCTTATTAAGATGTTAGTTTAGTTCTATTGATTTCCCTAATTCCCCCCACCCCTAATTTTGTTGTTGTTGCATATCCTTTGATTAGAACCCTTCTTTCCCTTACCTCTAAATCATGCATAACAAACGTTTTAAAATCGATTAACAACATAATAAAATACAACAAATAAAGTAAATGACATTTATATGTTTTATTTTTATGTTTTGCAAGTTATTGTAGTTTTTCTAAATCTCAATACCGTAGCTAAAAGAAATCTAAAAAAATAAACAATAAAATTTAAAAAAACATAGAGTGTTAAACAATTTAAATACGTTCTATTCTAATTCTATAACAGAAGTTAGTTAAACTAATTGATAATCTTTTAACAATTTTAATTCTACTATCGTCATTTCAAACACTTGTATTAAAAAGTAAATATCTAGATGGTTAAAAATGTCATGTGGAAATTATGAGCATGTGTAATAAAAAATATTTCAATTATATCGGGTCTATACTTAAAATTGACCAAAAGAAGTGAGACAATTCTTTGTATTGCGTTAAATATATTTCCAAAGAAAGGAGAGATAACGAAAATCGAGATGCATTTACCAGTTTCTTTTCTGCAAAATACAATGGGAATTTCAACAGAAAATATATAAAGGTACAATTTTACATTTACCACCTGTTAGGGTTGTAAAATTATTTCATCTTACAATGGTTATGGCATGCACACATCATTATCTGACACGAAATAATTAAACTCCGTTTGGTTCATTTTATATTTACGGTAACATGTATGGACCGGGTGGTAAATTGTTAGAGATTCATGAATGTTAATACAGATAGAGCCACATTTCATACTTCTAACAAGTTAACATTCTGTCCACAATTCTTTATTCGGTTAATATATCGTTCTATTGATTTCACACATTTACTACTAACTATCTTTAAGTTCGAAATTAAAAATATAATTTTGTAAAATAAAAATATTCTTTTCCTATTGTCTGTTGAAAAAACTATAATTATCTCGAATTTTAGTATAGAGCCAAGTAAAGAATTTGGGTTCAAATGGTATATTTACTAATTCTCACAATCGAACAAACAATGAAATTTTATATTTTAAATCGCTTTTAGCCATGATATTGATTTTTATTCAGTGACAACTGCTGACTATTGGGGGCCCTTCTTCGCATTAAAAACTATTAGTTTTAATTTTATTCTCTTAACACAACTTTTGGACCTTTAATATTATGAGACACCTACATTCGCAGGGGTTCCTCCATATGTATTGATTGAAGAGCATAGGTAACACTTCAAGTGTTACGCTTTTTCACAAAAAATTACAACATATCCGGAATTTCCAATTGAAACTTAATTTTTCACTTCAAGACAACCATCATAATAGTTGCATACGGGTAAGCTTCTGTTTCCTTTGTTATATGTCACAAAATTGCTAAACAAAATGCTTTCATGATATTTGTGTCTGTGTTTGACATTATGGCTTATTTTATATTTTGATGGCATGTTTAAAGTGTCATGTTAAATAATGGCGTGTTAAAATGTGTCATGTTAAGCCGTGTCACCCTATATTGTGTCATGTTAAATTGTGCAAATTTGAACAGTGCCATGTTAGACAGTATAAGGTTAAACTGTGTAGGTTTTGACTGTGTCATTCTTTAACTGTGTCGTGTTTGAATGTGTGGTGTTGAGCTGTGTCGTGTTAAACTGTGACATTTTAAACTGTATCGTGCTCAAAATGTTGCATGTTGAACTACGGAATGTGGAAATCTGTCTTGTCCCAATGTGTCGTTTTCAACAGGCACATGATAAACCGTGTGATGTTGAACTCGGTTGTGTTAGACCGTGTCATGTTAAACTCAGTTATGTCAAAATGTGTCATGTTTACTGTGTCATGTGAAACTGTGTCATTTTGAACTGTTTCATGTTAAACTGTGTCATGTTAAAATGTGTCATATTAATCTTTTTCATGTAAAACTGTGTCATGTTAAACTGTGACATGTTAAACTTTGTCGTGTTAAAAAGTGTCACGATAAACTAAATCGTGTTTTACTGTGTTGTGTTAAATTATTTATCACCCATTTAATTCAGAACCAACATCCAGGTAAATTAAGACAATCCCGTTAAAGTTTGTTATTATAGTTGTAAAAAATGATATTTTTATCATGGACGATATAATTGGCTGACAGCAAAACGACATCCACAAATGAATACACCAAAACGACGTCCACAAAATGATGACATCAAAACTAGGTGAACGAAATGGTGCCCCCAAAATGACGACTACAAAATAGTGACACCAAAATGACTGCCACAAAAAGGTGACACTGAAACGACCTCAACAAAGCGGTGACACCAAAACGACGTCCGAAAATGGTGACACAAAAATGGCGGCCAAAAAATGGTGGCAGTGAAATGACGAATCGTCACATATCATGTATAGCTGACAATATTATCTCCGTGTCATTCCACTTTGTCATTTATTTCTCTGAAAATTGAAACAGAAAATACCATATGGGAAACTTAGTGAACTATGTTTAAAGGGAAAACCCAGAAAGTCATTGTTGATTTTTCCAAAATAACATTTCAGTTTCTTTTTGTCTGTCAAGCAATCTGTTAGTTTTTTTATAAATTTTGTATGAAATTTGTAATAATTTAATATAATAAAATGTGAAAATGTATAAGAAGATCTTCTTGTTTTAGGAGAAAATGTTATCTTACTACCCTTTAATTTACCCAATGCTAGGCAATAGTAGAAAAAGGAAGCTTCACACAGACTGGATCAAACGTTGCACTTCAACGTCTATTGTATTTTTATTTTTTACAAAGTATTAGTTTCATTAAAAAAAATTATAATGCTAAAACTTGACCTATTTGAATTGACCTTAAAATAAAATATATATAAAAACTGATTGAATTGAAATTTTCTGTTTAAAAGACCATAATATATTCTGATGATAGCAGAATGTCTTCTCTTTCCAGTTTTGAGATAGTTAAAACTTAAATTGTTCAGGTTTTTAATAATAAATGTACGTTTAACGAATTGTTCATTAAAAAAGACGGGCAGTGGCGTAGGAAAGCAGGCGGAGACGAAGGGGTCCCCGGGTATTTTTTAAATTTTTAATTGTTTTCTTTTTTTAAACGTAGATTATTTTGGTGGCAGAGGTATGGGTTAGAATATTGGTCATAGACTAGCTTTGTCAATAATGCTGAGATTATTTTGGTGGCAGAGGTATGGGTTAGCATATTGGTCATAGACTAGCTTTGCCAATAATCCTGAGATTATTTTGGTAGCAGAGGTATGGGTTAGAATATTGGTCATAGACTAGCTTTGCCAATAATGCTGAGATTATTTTGGTGGCAGAGGTATGGGTTAGAATATTGGTCATAGACTAGCTTTGCCAAAAATGCTGAGATTATTTTGGTGGCAGAGGTATGGGTTAGAATATTGGTCATAGTCTAGCTTTGCCAATAATGCTGAGATTATTTTGGTGGCAGAGGTATGGGTTAGAATATTGGTCATAGTCTAGCTTTGCCAATAATGCTGAGATTATTTTGGTGGCAGAGGTATGGGTTATAATATTGGTCATAGACTAGCTTTGCCAATAATGCTGAGATTATTTTGGTGGCAGAGGTATGGGTTAGAATATTGGTCATAGACTAGCTTTGCCAATAATGCTGAGATCTAAAAAAAAATTTGAAGCTTCTCCTAAATCACCATATGTCAATTGATAAGTGAAATGGAAAGAAGAGAATATTTTCTGAAAGATCAGAAAATATATCTATTTGTAAAATACAAAATAGAAGAAAAATGCCATTGACATCAATTGACTTAATCACATTCATGAGAAAATGTATATCGTTTCATTGATAAACGTTTTTGTTTCTCATTTATCCCAATAAAGCTTTTGACTAACCCTTTTATTATTTTTTACACAAGTTTAATACAGGTTTTCAAAACCACCAATTGATTCCTAGTGGAAATAAAAAAAAAAAAAGACGACCATGCAAGGTGTCGCTGTTCCATAGGGAGACGGAGCGCACTGTTTGGGAACCCTTCGAATAATAAATAATACAGGAATATTATAATTAAAATTAAATTTAATTAATATGTATCGCAATTTAATTGCTTGTGGTACATTTTAAATTAAAGACATTTTCTTTTTCTTTTAAATTCCTTAGATTTAAGTATTTAAAAAAGAGACCTTAACACCAGCATGTTGACAAAACCGGAAATAGCCTGTGCCATCGTTGAAGGTTTATCATCGGTGAGAAAAGATGAAGATCTACAAGATTTCATTGTTGAAGTTGAAGGCACTGAATTCAAATGTCATCGTCTGATACTCAGCGCGTGTTCTGGATATTTCCGTAGTCTTCTAAGGTCTGGGATAAAAGAGTCGCAGAAACAAAGAACAAAGCTTGAGGGCATCTCCATGGAAACGTTCACTGCCATCTTAGAAACTCTCTACACCGGATGTAACAATCTGACACGTGACAACATGCTAAATGTATGGCTTGCTGCTGACCAACTTCAAATTATTTCTCTTTGACATGTGTGTAGATCTTGTTATAAACAACATTTCAAACGATAATGTCATTACTATTTCGGAAGTATCATCTCAACTACAGCACAAAAGTATCATAGAGCTTTGTAAAAAGTTTCTCACCAACAACACATCTCTGGAAAACTGGAATATTATATACGAGGCGGCGAACACGTTAGGCTCAGATTTGATTTTGTCACATGTTCGAGATTTCATCAAGAAACATTATGAACAAATCATCAAATCTGACACATTTCTGTGTATTCGTGAAAAAGATTTACTTGAAATTATAAAAAGTCAAGATCTGGTTGTGCCTACTGAAGACGTTGTCATTGACTCCATCCTAAATTAGTTTAAGAATGAAAGTACAATTAGATCTCAGATGATGGTTAAATATCCCAATGAAAATTTATACAGTGTGTCTGATGAAGATGAACAAGATGGAAAGATTGAGAATAAAAATAAAAACCCATTAATGAAATTGGAAAACATAAATGAATATCGCATGAATTCTTTTGAAAATTTTCTTTCAGAAACAAGATTGTTTCTTGTTAGTTCTATAACTCTAGAAAAATTAGCACGTGATACTTTGGTGATGAACAACAAAAGAACGAGAGAAATGGTAATGGATGCCGCCTTATATAAGTCCATTGGACGTCAACATGGTCAGAGTCTGAAGGCAGCCGTTCATAGAAGTTGTAGTGGTTTAAAGAATGTTGCAGTCCAAGGTAGAGCATTTGGACATTTCGAAATGCTTTCAAAACTGCCTAAATTTCAATCGGTATTTCTTCCAAAATGTCCGTACCTGGTCAAATGTACGTCTGTTAAATTAATTGCCTACCAGACAAACTTTATTGCAGTCGGTGATTTAGAAGAGAGCAGCAGCTTGTGTTTTTTCGAACAAAATGAATGGCGTGAACTCATGGAACTACCAGGTCACGGATGGCTGGGTGTGGCCGTGGAAGAATTTATTTATGTATTTCATTCTTCTAATCAACAAATTCAAAGATTTGATCCGAGATTTGGGAATTGTATACTTGAGAATTTGATTAACTTCCCCTCACAAGATAAAATTGAACACATTTGTTCTTTTGATTTCTTCCTACTTGCATTTTGTTTTGAGATTATACAAGGGGTAGATAAGACAGCTTTACATTGTCTTGACACGAGGTCTCAGACATGGACAAGACTTGACTGCCTGGAAGGATCAGCCAAAAATATGCATAGTTTTAGAAAAGAGAAACAATTATATATTCTTCAAGCTAACGGCAACCTTTGGGAAGTTAACCGTGACGAAATAAATGGCTTACATTTGAAGTTGGTTGAGGTTCTTTGGCAGGGCACATCCAATATGTTTGGAGTCACATATATAGACGAGCTTCTTTGTTTTAGTTTAAATAAAGACTATAAAGATGATGTAGCATCTTCAGCAACTTCAAATTTGTTAAAGGTCACCTATGTTTATTGTAATACACGAGATAACTCTTTGTCTAATTTGGTACCTGCTATCTTAGAGTCATTAGCTAGTTAATTTATTGTTTTGAAATATCGTAAGCATACTTTTTTTAAAATCAAATTATATATTTTTAAACCAGATAATAATATAAAAATGTGTGTTATGTAGTTTAGACACCGGTGATCACTGGAAAAGTGAAATCAACACCGGTAATATGATAATTGTGCTGTGAATATTTTCCTACTTATCTAACTTCTAACTACACAATCTTTTTCTCATTCTCTTTCCCTATGTTTCTTTTATCAGTTTTGTCTCATCACATCCCTTAACATACATTTTCATAACTACTCTATTACCTGCCACCACTCCCTCTATATATCACTGTATTGTTATATTGTTAAGACTCTTTTAGTATAAGATGACTTTGAAATAATACCCTTGAAGAATATGTTTTCAAAAAAAAAAAAACCAAAAAGTCAATGTTAATAAAAAATGTTTTCAAATAACGACCTGGAAGACTATGCTAATATAAGAGAATTTAAAAAATAATGACCTGGAAGGCTATGTTAGCATAAGATGATTTTTTTTAAACGACCTTGAAGCTCATATTAGCATAAGGTGGTTTCAAATAAGGACCTGAAAGATTATTTTAGTATACGACAATTTTAACCCCCAAAATGACCTTGAAGATTATGGTGGTAAAAGATGATTTCAAAATAATGACCTGGAAGACTATGTTATTATAAGATGATGTCAAATTAAGGACTTAGAAGACTATGTTAGTATAATATGGTTTTAAAATAACGACCTGAAAGACTATGCTAGTATAAGATAGTTTTAAGATAACGACTTGAAAGATGTTAGTATAATATGGTTTTAAAATAACGACCTGGAAGACTATGGTAGTATAAGATAGTTTTAAGATAACGACTTGAAAGATGGTAGTATAAGATGGTTTTAAAAGTTCAATGACCCTTGGAAGTCTAAAAAATGATAAAACAAAACTTCGTTACAGTCTATTTGAATAAGACAGGGATCTAATAATGATGTATTTGAAATGGGGGAATAGGCGAAATGCGGACTGTGGGGGTATGGCGGGAGAGAAAGACAGTATTTTAATGTTTTATACTTACAAGTAAGGATCGAAATTGAGACAAACCTTTTTTTTTAAAATTAAATCCTTTATATTAACTTCGCTTTTATTCGTGAATTTGTCGCCAGCAGAATCTTCAGACCTCTAACTCACCCCCACTTCCCGTCAACTTGTCGAGCTGAAACTTGGCACGTAGACTCTTTGCCGATGACACATGCTGTCAAATTACCAATCGCAACCTCCAAAAATCAGTTTTTCCTCCTTTTTTAGGAGGAGATGAAGGAAACATGGTGACACTGATTTCACGCAATAAAAATCCCGATAACTGTTCTAAATGAGATTCTTCTCTTTTTTCTTTTTAATGATCCAAAAAATTATTCAATTACATACGGATTAAACTAATTACAGGCAAAATTACCGAAATGTGAACTGAACTAGACTTTACATTATGTGCTGAAATAGCCTAAAGACATAACAATTGCTAAAATTCTAATTGAATAGTGTGTACTACATTAAACATTTGTTTCTATTATAAATTATTTAACATATAGCATGAATGAATTAGAATGATAAACAAATTATTTGAATGAATTATTTTGTCATTACGTTTTTAAAAATTATGTTTTAAATTATGTTTTGTATTTTAAATCTAAAAAGTGCTTCTAATGTTAAGTTTGTGAAAAGAAGCCTTAAGTCTGTGGTGCCATATATATTTTCTGTGTTGTAAAGTAATGTTAAACTTATTGTGTGTTGTTTTTGGATGCTTGTATTGTGTTTAGTTTTATGGCTCTGTCTGTATCTACTGTGTGAACTGTACTTACTTGTATGATTTGTTTAAGTGTAGATTTAGTCTGTAATATTGTGTTGCATGTCAGATATAAATGTTGTTCTGTCTCATCAGCCCCTGTCCTGCAGAGTGGACATTCCATGTGCCTAACCCTGTCCTTGTATGGTCTTGACGATACTGGTGTCATGTTGTATATGACTCTATATGTTATTTCTTTGTCTTTATTTTCGATTTCTTTAATGTGTGTATTTTTAAATGTATTCTTAGTATTTATTGTTCCATAAACATGTGACCATTTTATCCTATTGTAGAGTGGTGTTGCTTGTTTCTTTATTAAATGTGTGTAAATTTCTATAGTTGTCTTGTGTATAAGTGTTTCGTTGCCTTTTAATGCTTGAATGCATGCCATATGAAAATCCGATTGTTTTCTTCCCATGCAATGGGGTGTGTTTTTGTCAATTTTAATTAACTGTCCTAGCCTTATCCCAATGTAATAATGTGTAAATAAATTTTCCTCCTTCTTTCTAATGGCTTGTCCTATAAATTTAATTCTAAGTGCTTTCAGTTTTGTTTGTATGTCTTGTAAATTAATCCCCCCTTCTAGTTTAGATTGGATTAAAGTTGTATTTTTAATGTTTTGTATTGTTCCTTGAAATATGTAATTCCTGATATGTAAGTTTATTTGTCTTAAAATGTTTGGTGGAGGTCCCCATATGTTCCCTGTGTATATTGTTTTAGGAATTACATATGTGTTTATAATTGTGCTCCGGCCAAAAATTGAGTGTGCTGTGTATTTATGTCTGTCAATTATCTTTTTTATTGATTGTTAAATGTTTTGCCATGTTTCTGTCTTAGTTTGAGTCTGTTTGTTTGAAAAATAAATGCCATATATCCTAAGACTATCTTTCCTTACAATTTCTAAAGGGAAATCTAGTCTATCTTTCCACTTACCTATCCCCATAATTTCAGATTTAATTATGTTTATTTTAGACCCCCTACCTCTTCCAAATTCTTGAAATATTGATATTATTTTTGAAATAGACTTATCATCAATAGGAAAAAAATTGTGTCATCTGCATATGCAATGACTTTCGTTTCATTACCTCCAGGGATCCTTACTCCTTTAATACTCTCCTCCCTTCTAATGCTCGCTAACAAAGGTTCAAAGGATAGGATATAAAGTTAAGGGGAAAGGGGACACCCTTGTCTAACTGATCTGTCAATTTTAATGTCTTTAGAAAGTGTGCTGTTAATTATAAGATTACTAATGGGGGACTTGTATAAAATGTTTACCCAATTACAAAAATAATCTCCTAGTTTGTTGTGTTGTAATATTTTATGTAGATATTTATGGTCTACCCTATCAAAGGCTTTTTCTTGGTCTAGAGATAATATGCAAGTTTGGATGTTTTTGTCATTTGAATATTGAATAATGTCTCTAATGAAATGATTGTGGTTCTGGATGTCCCTCCCTTTGATGCTGCATTGTTGGTTTATATGTATTAAAGTATTTAAATGTGGTTTTAATTTATTTGCTAGAGTTTTTGTAAGAATTTTATAGTCTGTGTTAAGTAAAGATATGGGTCTGTAATTTTTAAGTTGTGTTCGGTCAGTATCTTTTTTTGGTAAAAGCTTTACGTATGAACCTTTTCCCTTTGTAATAAAGTGTAAATATATTTTTAATCGTATTTGTAATGGCTTGTGCTATACATTTGCTTCTGAGTGCCTTTAGTTTTTTTTTATGTCTTGTATATTAATCCCCCCTTCAAATTTTGATTGGATTAATATTGTATTTTTAATGTTTTGTGTTATTACTTGAAATATGTACTTTCTGATGTGTAAGTTGATTTGTTTTAAAATTGTTTGGTGGAGGCCCTTATATCTTGAGAGAAAGAACATTTGTAAATTGTTTATTATGTTCCTTAGTTTTAAGGTTATTTTTATTTGGCAAGTGCGTTATGCCAAAAAAATTTTATGTTGCCTGTTTCATGGCAATGGATTTATTAATATTGTATTATTTTTCGCTTTTAAAAAAATAACAACTTTTATAATATTTTATTTTACCTTAAAATATGTCTATAATTTAGCTAAACTTAGCTTGAGGTTAATCATTGGTGGTTAACAATCAAGTAATAACTTGAGAAGGAATTTATTATCATAATCTCATTTTAAACATTCTTATTGTTAATCTTGTTCTAAATTTTTTAAAGTTTTAAAGTAAATTTAGATATTATATATTTTTATGTATATTTCAAATTTCTTATTTTACATGTAACTCTTACAATTAAATGTGTCAACGCATTTCTAGATATTTATGTGTGTAAATCTCATTTTTACATTCATACTGTCGTATATTTAGTTGTTCATTAATAATACTACTAACATCAATTTTGTAGAATTCATATGTTCTATCGAACCCAAAATCTTCATTTGCATTTATCTATTTTGGACATTCATATTTATGATATAATTCGTTACGCATTTTTTGTTAATATTCAAATTGATAATGTTCCTTAAATTACTTCTAATTATTTATATTAATCTCAATATTTACATTGTTCAATCTCATTTATTAAATTTTTTTAATTTGTATCCATTGCTCATTTATTTCATCAACTAAACAAATGTAATTTTTGTGTTTTATCTCAGATTATTCTATTCTTAGATACTAGAAGTATTTAATCCGGTGCTACAGCGATAACAATGGAAGGCATATTGCGTTAGTTTCCACCTATTTATTCCAAGTCTCAAAATCTAAAAAAATAAATATTTAAAGACATTAACTGAACAGAGTTTTCATATATTGTATTATCAACATTGTTTAATGGCACTTGAAATGTATATTTAGCAAATAATTTTTAAAAAAGAGTTTATGTAAAAATAATTACTTTTCTCAAATCATTGAGTTTTGAAAATGTTTTCTTTTATATAATTTAGAACAGCTGAATCATTTTCATAACCATGAACTACAAATAAAACATTTGGATACATTGAAAAAATATGTCCTTAACTTAAAAATCTCAATGTACTATTTTCAATAGATGTATC